ACTGCCCTGTTTCCCTGTCCACAGCAGATGCGGTGATGCGTTGTTCGGGAGTGGGGACGACGACATCAAGTTGTGCAGCATGACAGCATGGTCCATTGCTGCAGGCCACTGGTGGTTGGGTAGCCGCATGCCACGTAACAGTTTGCGCATGCTGTTCTGCAGAGTCCTGTTCGTTTGTTCTGCGACACCTTGCTGCTGATGGGCGTAGGGAAGGGAGAGGAGTTGCTTGATTCCTCTTTCCGCCAGGTACTGCTTGAATCGCTGAGAGGTGTATTCTCCTCCTCCGTCTGATTGGAAGCTTTTCAGCTGTGCTCGCGACTCTCTTTCTGCTACTGGTAGCCAGGCGGCGAACGCTGCGAGTGCCATGTCGCGGCTGGGTAGATTGAGATGCCAGACGTATCGAGTGGCGGCATCGATGAAGGTAATCGTGTAGTGGTAGGTAACTTGTCCTGGTTCTTGATTGAAGAGAATATCGCTGTACACCTTCTCGAGTGGTGCGTACGCGGGTGCGCTCGGGTTGTGATGAGGAGTGAACGGTCGATGTGGTAAGTCGGCTTCGGGGCAGGTAAGACAAGTCCCTCGTGCCCGTTGAAGTTCTCTGCCGTCGGGTAGTAATAATGAGTCCTTGTCTAGGACTCCCGCTCTTATCGTGTTATTTAACACTGTGTTGCTTCGATGTCCCGTTCGTGCGTGCCAGATTTCTTCGGAGGCGCGATGTCCAGGGGAGTATCGATACGCGTCGGAGTTGGAGTAGAAGTTGGCGACGAAGTTTGCGCTTCTCTGGACTTCTCGTTGAGTTGGGTTCAGCTGCTGTGCGGGTGTTGGTGGTGCTTCGTCAACGAGGACTGGTGTCGCTGCTGCTGACGATGGTTCTGCTGCTGCCGGTGTTGTTTCTGCTGCTGCCGATGTTGTCTCTGCTGCTGCCGATGTTGTCTCTGCTGCTGCCGATGTTGTCTCTGCTGCTACCGATGTTGTCTCTGCTGCTGTTGAATGTTGAATTGTTGCAAACGCGCGTATTCGTTCTGCTTCAGGGATGGTGTGCGAGTACCAGAAGCCTTCCGGGCTGAAGTCTAGATCAAGATCTGGAGGGTGCGTCCAGTCGGCGAAGTTCACGATGGCATCGCTGTCTGCGGTGCCCAGGTCTGGAACGAAGTCTAGGACGAAGACGTTGTTCTTCAAGACTGCCTTCCCGATGTAGAGGCCGCCTTTCCCGTGGTATAACTTGAATTCCTGGGTGGTACTGTCGGCTTCCAAGTGAATACCTTTCGCCATCAACTGGCTGACGCTCAGTAAGTTGTAGCCGAGTCCCTCCACGATTAGTACTTTTGACATATGCAGTATAACATTTGTCTCTCGTGACTGAAGTTGTACTACTCCTTGTCGTTGTGTGCGCAGGTTCTGGTTGTTGGTGAATGTGATGACGACCTCTCGTTGAAGTCGATGTTCGCGTTGGACGAAGCGTCTCGAAGAGCACATGTGCTGTCCGCAGCAAATGTCCAAGAACCATGTGTCTTTCCCGGACGGTTCGCTTTGAGCAATGGCGGCGTACGTCGGGTTCGGTTGAAGGGACTCGCGGCGAGGCGTGCTGTTGTCGAGTTGCTCTTCTAGTGACTAGTATGGTGGTGACTCGGTTGTGCAGGAATTTGTTATCTTTACCATGCAGTTGACGATGTTTCTTGCTTTTTGTGCAGGTTGTCCTGTTGGAGTCGTTGAAGCTTGGACAGAAGGTGTCGGGGTAGCTTGTGTTGAAGTGACTTGGCTGCTCGAAGGTCAAAGTTGTCGCTGTAGTGTTGTCGATTGATGACGATACGGGCAGTGCGTACGAGGATGCCCTGAAGTCTTGCAGATGTGGCAAAACGGAGATACTAGCTTCGGTTGTTGTTGCTGTCGACTGTTGTTGTTGTTGTAGCGTCGCTGGGTGTGAAACGCGAACTCTGGTACTGACGTTTTCTTCTTATGTCGTTCTTCTTGCAGGTCCATGTCCTGCTGCTCGGCATGAAGTTCGACGCAGAGTGCTACTTCGGAGATTCTCCCGTGTGCTCGTAGTATGGCGCGAGTGGAGCGCCAGTGAGGGCCAAGACCGCCGATGACAATCGTGACAAAGGCGTCTTCTGAGATCGATCCTCCACATCGAAGAAGCCTATCGCGCAGCTCGCGGCAGCGTCTGATATACGCCATGCCCTTCTCGCCTGGTTTCATTTCGATTGTTGTCAGCTGCGCCATTAACCGGCTTTGGTTTACACTGTCTGTTGCTTGATACAGGTTCTTCAAGTGGTTGTACGCGAGCTCCGCGGAGTTACCGTAACCTCGGTAAGTCCTTATGTTCTGCTGCTGGGTCGGGGTGATGTTCCTCAGTAGTATTGTGTATGCCATCATCGATTGATAGGTGTACTGCTGCTTCTCATACTTTTTGCCGTTTGTTGGATATGGCAGGGACCCGTCGAAGAAGCCAAGGATCTGCGCTCCTTCCATCATCAGCTCGAATTCGAACGACCAGGTAAAGAAGTCCTTTCCGTCAAAAGGTTTTGTCGTTTGTAGTTTTAGAACATGCGCGAATTGCGACTGAACTTGGAATGCGTCCAGCGCTCTCTCTTGTCCTGGTGCAGGTTGTGGTTGCGGCATGAAGCTGACGGAGCCGCGCTGGGGCTCGTACGGAGCGAAGGTAGGTTGTTGATGTTGATTCCCGCGTGCGTAGGATGAGCCATCGAGACTCATGGGCGTCACGTTGTTGTTGCTGTTGTTTGATTGTGCAGGTACTCCTTGCTGGTGCTGCTCGTAGAAGGACATGAAGGAGAAGAATTTCTCCATCATGCTTGGATCGAAGCCCGCGCCTTGGTTTGCGGGTGTTTCCGTAGACCCAGCTGCTGGTCTCGTCGTTGTCCCTTCCTCTGTCTGTAGGCCAGAGGCAGGAGGTGGAGTAGGGGTAGTCCCGGGAGAGCCGTTGGAGGAGCTCCTCTCCTTTCTAGCAGACATGTCTTCTTGATGTATTGAGTGTTGAAAAGTAGTAACTTTTAACTCTCACTGCTCTCATACCATGTTGGGCAGAAACGCCCTAGGATCTTTGTAGAGTTAAAGTCTGAGTAAGTGATGTAATAGCGGAAGCGTTTGAATTAAGCCCTTGAACCACCTTGCGCTAGTATGTGAGGGCAAAGTAAGTTGATTAAAGCAAAGAGATACAGGAATATAAATATATGAGTACAGGGAATATGAAGAGACATTATAACTACTTTACTGTTGCGGTTCGATACAGTGCGACTCGGGCAACTGCTCAATGTCGAGTCAGTTGTGTGTCCTTGCTGTCGCGCTGCGTCAGGTCAAAGGTCGCTGACCTTTGACTTTCTCGTAACCTCCAGCGGTTACGTTAACCTCCGAGGGTTGACTCGCGGTGCTTCGATTTGAGCTGCTTCGCTTGTGTCTTGAGTTCTGACACGACAGAGGCGCTTAAACTATTTGTTCCCAACACCTGCGTCGCCACTTGCGCCACTGGCGCCACTAGCGCCACATGTGTCGAGGGGTGCTGCTGGTTGGAGTTTTTGTTGACCTCGCCACTGCGCAGCAACAAATCGACGCTAGTGGGCGCGACATCTTCGTCTTCAGCCCGTCGCATGTTGCGGGGATCGCTCGAAATTTCACGGGCGTTCTTCTCGTTGTCAGATGACACAGCGTCTGACGTGACAGATGACGCACCACTTGGTGCTGCAGGGAAGAGCAGGGAGTGCCCCTCGTTTTGAAACGCGACTTCTCCTGTCGGACGAAACATCGCCACGCCCTGTGTTTTGGAATGGGTGGTGGTGGGAATGAGGTGGTGGTGGAAGTTAGATGTTGGTGGGGCGGACGCCGGACAGCGGACTCGAATGGAGATTACGCATAACAGCCAGATAGCCAGACGGCACGGACAGACACACTCAAGTTACTCTAGAAAAAGTCTCAGATGTGGCCATCCATTCTGAAGCATGGCCTCTCCTCACGGACCAAACAGAGTCACGACCTTTGAGTGGGAAACAAGGGGGTAGTGGGAATGGGTGGGTGGGGCAGCAGATGATCAGCAGGACAGCTGGCATTGCAATGAATGCAGGGGGGGGTTGTAGGTAGTGGTAGGGTCAAGTGTGTTTTGAGTCGACTCAAAACACACCAAGCAGTGCGCGATTAGTGCAGATGCCTGGGCGGGGCGGGCCAGCAGGCGGGCGGCAGGACAGTTGGCATTGAGATTGACGCGGGGAGGTTGTGGAGGAAGTGGGGATGGGATGGCAGTAAGTAAGTTCAAGCAGCAGGAAAGAAGCAAGTATGGGGACGTGAGCAGGATTGACAAGGGAGAACAAGAATCAGTTATTACAACGCAGACAGAGATAATAACGACAAAGAGAAGTGGCACGAGCCACACACAGACAGAGACACGACGCAAAAACGGAATACGAGCACAGAAAAGTGAAACTCTCAAGACAGAAAAGCAGGCGAAACATGACTACTTGTGAATCTGGCATGTATGATCCAGTCCGGGCTGCCCAATGAACTCTCAATCCCGACTAATACTATTCAGAGCACCCCAATATCCTCTCAATCTCAATAATACGAATGCAGGACACCCCACCTCGAGCACGTATATGAGGACGGACTGAGTGCGGTCCAATGGGATGTTGACAGCTGTCCCTGGCCGCATGTACACGTGCAGCATGAGCTGGGGGATGGTGGGGGTGGGGGGGGAAGGGAAGGTGGGGAGGGGGAGGGGGAGGGGAGGGGTTAAGGCAGGGAGGAGGATTGGAGGGATTAGTAGGGAGTAAGGGGGACCAATGGGATGTTGCCAGCTGTCCCTGGCAGCATGTGCACGAGCAGCATCAACTGGAGGGGGGGGGGGGAGGGAAGGGGGAAGGGAGGGAGTAAGGCAGGGAGGAACACTGGGTGGAACGGGAGGGAGTAAGCGGAGAGGGTAGAAACGGGTGGGGAAAGGGAAGGAGAAACAGGGCGAAGGAGATAAGGGGACTGAGCTAGTGAAAGGAGAACGGTTAGGAGTTGAGGGGTTTAGAAAGGGGTTGAGGAAGGTTGGGATGGCGGGGAGGGGACGTTCGATTGAAGGGCAAGAGTTCGGTGAGCAAGAGAGTGCAGATGACACGAAGGAAAAGAGGGAGAGAGAGTGCAAATGACACGAAGGAAAAGAGGGAGAAAGAGCGCAAATGACACGAAGGAAAAGAGGGAGAGAGGGTGCAAATGACACGAAGGAAAAGAGGGAGAGGGAGTGCAAATGACACGAAGGAAAAGAGGGAGAGAGAGTGCAAATGACAGGAAGGAAAAGAGGGAGAGAGAGTGCAGATGACAGGAAGGAAAAGAAGGAGAGAAAGTGTCAGAGAGAGGAAGTTGTAAGCGAGGGGCGGAGTGATGTGTGGGAGTGAGGGACGATAGTGACAGTGGGGATTGAAGAAATAAGGACTCGCGGAATGACATAAGGACTCCGCGAGTGGCAATGAGAAGGACACAATAAAGTGAAACGGAGAAACAAAGTGTGAGAGGAGTGAGAAAGCGAGAGCAAGACTGACAAAGTGTGTGAGGGGCGGAGGAGTGCAAACGTCCCTGAACCGCCCAGCCACCACCCGAACCTGCGCTGCCCCCGACCCTTGCGCCTCCCTCTCTGCCCCCGCGTTCCCCCCTTCCTCCCCTCCGCCTCCCCCCTCCCCCCTTTCCCCCGGACCAGGGGGAGCAGGGGTGGCGGGGAGGAGCACGCAGGGCCCAAGAGCGGCGGAGCGGAGGTGCGAGAGGACGAGATGGGGGGGAGGGGGAGGGAGAGGGGCGGAAGAGGCGGAAGTGGGGGGCGAGGGGGAAGAGGGGGCGGAAGAGGAGGCGGGAAGTGACATTTCACCATTCCCCCCACGATTTTAATGTCTGAGGCCCAGAAAACTTCGATTCCGCGCCCCTGCGCTTGCCCTCCCCCTCCCGCGTTCCACTCCCCTTCTCTCCCCCAATCGATCTCCCCCCAATCTTCCGCCTCTTCCCCCCACTCCTCCTCGTCCTCCGCCTTTCCCGCTTCCGCCAGCATGAACACTAGGGACTCAAGCGCGCGTCCGGGGGGAGCGGGGGGGAGCGCGAGCGAGGGGAGGGAGAAAAACTCATCAACCGCAATAATGGGGGAAAGGGGGGAGGTTGCGCTGATTGCTTTCCCGCTTTCCGCCTCTCCGCCTTTTCCGCTCCCGCCTCCCCCACTCCCCCCGCCTCTGCTTCTCCGCGGGCCAAATGCGCGCGCGGTCTCCCCTTCGGCGGAAACTTTACTCGCGGTGATTGTTTCCGTTGCGCGTCTGCTCACTCCCCCGCTTCTCCGCGCAGTCCGCGCAGTCTCCGCTGCTGCAACCGCCCCCCCTCCCCCTTCCCCCTCCGCCGCACAGCTGGTGCGCAACCTCTGGCGCGGAGGTTCGACATGTCGCAAGCTCTGATGCAGAGTATTTCGGAATTTCCGCGCGCCGTTCTCACATTTCCCCGTCCCTCGTAGACGCACTCGCTGTGCCTTCAAGGCGTCTAGGTTCAATGCATTTAAATGTACTCGAATTCCTAGAGTACGAGCACCATCAGCGCCACACCTCACCGCGCCGCAACCGAAACGATTTGACCGTTGTCTTTAGCGGCAAGAGCTGCAGTCGAACCGCGGGAATTGCCGAGCCTGCAATGCTGACGAGGCACCCGAGGCTAAGGGCGACACGATGCTGATAATAGTCCTCGGAGGGCCGAGAAGACGAGCGGAAGCCATAGAGCCGAGGTAGTATTGAATTCGTTGAGAATTCAAGAATTCATTCGTAGCAAACTAGGCTTGCGGGTGGTAGTGGGAAAAATGACGATTTTATACTCTCTACTGTAGCACCCCCTACATCGTCAGAGCCATGCACTTCTGTTTCATATATTTACAATAGAGTGAGTTGACTAGAGATGCAACTAGAAAGGGATGGTTGTGGTGGTGGAACTACTGAAGGAAAAATAGCTACTGTTGAAGAGAAAATAAAGTGGCAAACATCTATGGCTGAAATTAAATAGTGGTAGGTGGTACAATAGATTCAAAGAGCCAAGAAATAGTGCAATAATGCTGAGCATTGCCGTACGGTACATGGGAAGGCGGACGGCAAGAAGCAAACAGTTTTCCCGATTGGTTTTGGAACACAGAGTTTTTATGGGGAAACCACTCCCTCATATAACCCGAATCACTCAGCACACCACTTATGATACAACAAGGTCCACCTCCGGCATCGCCCTTAACCATTCTGGAACGCCTTTCACACCCTTGCATCCCCGAATCTCCACTTGCCAAAGCCTGGGCAGCTGGCTCATTGTCTCGGGCAGCTCAGAAAGTTTTGGCAGCTTTTCCAACTCTAACCATTCCAGAGATAAAAGTAACCCAAAATCTGCTGGTAACCAATCGAGTTTCCCACAGTCTGCTATGCTGAGCTGGGCCAATCGGGGAAGGTGGGGGAATGAGTCAGGCAGGCAGCGCAGCAGGCAGCAGTCGTGCAGGGAAAATTGCTCTAGGTGGGGCAGCTGCCCAAAAGAATCAGGCAGGGCAGCAAGACCAGGCAGGCTAGAAAATCTCAACGTCCGGAGGCTGGACAAGAGGCCAAAGGTGGGAGGGAGGGACGTGAGGTGATCACAGGAAGAGAGAGTGAGGGTGGTGAGGGAGGAGGCTAAGGGAAGGGAGGGTGGTAGTGTGGCAAGGCTGATGAGTTGAGAGAGATGGAGCGAGGTGAGACGGGGTAGCAGGCTGATGGTTGACGGCAGGTGAGTCAGTGATTCACAGTCTGCGATTGAGATTGCTTCTAATGAGTACATAGCAGCCATGCCATGACACCGCTTCATATCCTCCACATTTCCCACATTTTCCACCTCCTCTACCTCCCCCTTTCCTTTCCCCTCCTTTCCCTCCTGCGCACTCTCCCTCTCTCCTTCTCCACCCCACTCCCTCTCACCCTCGGCCTCTCCACCCCCCTCCCCCCCCCTCCTCTTCTCCTGTCTCTATTGCACCTCCTTCCAAGAGGGACGTCAGGGACGAACAGGATTCGATGACAAGGGATTGCAGGGAGGAGAGACGGCAGAGGGAGGAAGGGAGGGCGGTCAGCAAGGGGCAGTGGCTGATGTGCAAGTGAGTGAGGGAGGGAGCGAGGAGGGAAAGGGAGTGGGGGATGGAGGCGACACGCGAGAGGTGTGAGAAAGTGAGTGTGGCGAGGGAGGGGAGGGAAAAGAGTGAGTGAGGGAGGTGTGTGATGTGCGTGTTGTGCTTCAAGTCTATGTGAAGCGACACCAATCCTATCATCCCACCGGACCCTTCAAGTGTGCCCGATCCTGCAGCAGCAGCAGCAGCGCCAGCTACCACATCTGTACGCGTTAGAGCCACACCCGTTACATCAGCATTGGGAGTGGTGTGAAACGGGAGGAGGGTGAGATCAGAGAGGCCGCGCAGCTTCAAGTGGAGGAGAGAGAAGGCGCTGGAGAGGAAGGGAGGGAGGCAGGAGATGCGAGGAGAGTCGGAGAGAGTGAGAGAGTGGAGAGAGGGGAGAGGAGGGGGGAATGGAAGAGCAGCGTCAGACTGAATAGTGTCATAATAAACAGTATCATTATGAACAGTGTCATCCCCGTCAAAGAGTGACTCCATTTGGCCGTTACCGTCCACGACCAGCTCCTGCAGCGACGGCAGGTGCATCCAGGTGCGAGGGAGGGCGGTGAGGCGCGCGCAGAGAGAGACGCGCAGGCTGGTGAGCGATGGCAGTAGGGGGAGGGGCGCCTGGGAGTTGGAGGTGGTGCTGCTGGTGTCAAGGATCCCTCCGCTGCCGCTGCTGCTGCTGCTGCTGCTGCTGCTGCTGCTGCTGCTGCTGCTGCTGCTGCTGCTGCTGCTGCTGCTGCTGCTGCTGCTGCTGCTGCTGCTGCTGCTGCTGCTGCTGCTGCTGCTGCTGCTGCTGCTGCTGCTGCTGCTGCTGCTGCTGCTGCTGCTGCTGCTGCTGCTGCTGCTGCTGCTGCTGCTGCTGCTGCTGCTGCTGCTGCTGCTGCTGCTGCTGCTGCTGCTGCTGCTGCTGCTGCTGCTGCTGCTGCTGCTGCTGCTGCTGCTGCTGCTGCTGCTGCTGCTGCTGCTGCTGCTGCTGCTGCTGCTGCTGCTGCTGGTGGCGGTGGTGCTACCAGCAGCAGCAACACCACTACCACTACCACTGCTGCTGCTAGTTGTAGTGGTGTTGCTGCTGCCGCCATTCCCCGCACCTGCTCCCCCCCGCGCAGCACGAACGGACGGCAGCGCCGCAGGCGGGGACGGCAGGCGGGCGAGGGCGCCGCAGGCGGAGACGTTCAAGGAGCGCAGGGCGGAGAGGGCTGTGAGAGACGCGGGGAGACTCTGCAGCATGTCACACGAGGTGATGTCTAGATGGTGCAGCGAGTGAGAGAGGAGATGGAGGGAGGCAGGGAGGGAGGTGATGAGTGGGAGGAAGGAGAGAGTGAGGGAGCGGAGGTGGGGCAGATGGCAAAGCTCGCCCGGGAGAGAGGAGAGAGCGGGGCAGTTGGAAATGGTGATGTGAGTGAGGGAGGCGGAGAGAGCGGTGAGGGCTTCCGCGGGTATCTCCTGCATCTGCTTCCATCCCAGTAGCTCCAGCCGGGCCAGTCCCGCCCTGCTCTCCTCCGCATCCTCCTTACAAACTGGCTCGATAGAAGCTCTCCCGTTCTCCTCTTCCGAAACTGCCAGGGGATGACCGTTTTCTGCTTCCTCCGCTGCGCCGGGAGCAGGCAGGGGGGATGCGGAGAGGAGCGCGGGCAGGGGGGTGCGCAGGGAGGGGAGATAGGCGAGAGTGAGCGCGCGGAGACGGGGGAGGCGCGCGGGGAGGCAGGAGGGGACGGCGGAAAGCAAGGCGCATTCGCGGAGCTCGAGGGTTTCGAGAAGGGGGAGCGCGGCGGGGAGGGATGCGGGGAGCGCGCGGAGAGCGCGGCAGCGGTCGAGGGAGAGGTGGCGGAGAGCGGAGAGCGTGCGGAGGGGTAGTGCGGGAGAGGGGGTGTTCGAGAGGGAGAGAGAGGCGAGCGAAGTAACTAGCGAAGAATTATTCTCCTGAGGCAGTATGTCGCTATTCTGACGAGCGGCATTCTCCGATGCATCTGCTGCATTCGCATCTGAGATGATCGAAACATTTGGTGGGATAGAAGTCTCTACAGTCCCGTCGATATCCGTCGCGAAGCCGGCTGGAAGCTTCTCCAGGGCTTCTGAGTGGATTGATAGACTGACGAGAGCGGAGAGTTGACGGAATCCGTCAGGAAGGCGTTTCAGTCCCCGAGCGGTGATTTTTAACGCCGTCAAGCGAGTCAACCCGCAGATTGACGGAGGAAGAGCGGTCAGATTTGGCGGGCAGTGCAGCTCCAGGGAATCGAGCCGCGGGCAGGTAGAGAAAAGCGACGCCAGCCCGGCTTCAGTGAAGGCGGCGCGGTGGTCAGGACGAGATGACGTGGACGCGACGCGCCTGCCACGAATGGTAACCGGCTCGGCCATGCTGCCGAGATGGAAGCGAGTAAGCGATGGACACGTGGCAGCTAACTGAGAGAGGAGGTGATCGTTCGCCAATGAGAGGCTTCCATCTGACAGAGCGATTGACGTCAGCGACTGGAACGAAGCGACGCCCTTCAAGAATCGGCGGGTGCACAGCCGTCGCTGAGGCGACAGTGCGACGTGCGAGCGGGTCGCACATGCGACACGGTACCATCGGCGACAGACGAGCGCATAGCTACCGTCGGGATTCATATCAGATCCAGAGTTGAAGATCCCGGATATAACATCAAAAGTATCGCGCCGTTTGCGAACGGATGACTGGGAGCGATTAGATGCAGGCTGTGAAGGAAGGTCGCATTGCGACAGCTGCTGCGAACATGGCGCTGGCGACTCTCCATGAGCGACGGGCTCAACGTAGCTGAAAACGCGGCCAAGTATGTCGTCCGAAAGGCGGTCGACGGGAGAGGACCCCAGACACAAGAGGTCAGTCGCTGCCGACATTGGCGCAGCGCTTGTGGCATCAACTGCCTGGATCGAGAGATCAGCCATTGCTGATGTACATTTTCTTCGAGGCCCTTTTGTCTGGACGACGCTCCGTCGATGGTACGGATCTTTCGTACGGGCTGTCCGAGGCTCACGTCCAGAACAAGCCTCGTCCAAACGTCTGGAAGTGGAACAATTTTGAGTTTCGAAATTCAAAATTGTGAACACTCTGTAACACAATACCCGCCTGGTCGCAATTTTCGCCCACCACAAATGTGCGCCTCGACAACTAGAGTGCTTGCCACTCCTGGTTCACGGACAACTCCGAAGCGTGGTTGTCGGGGGAAGGTTGGGAGTTGTCACCAACGCTAGAGAAATCCATCGTTGCCTATGATGTTGTCGTCCGGATTGATGCCTGTTTTGTAGTGGATTCACATTGTTTCGTTCGATTGTTGTTGGAAATGCGGCTCGGGATGATATACCTCAGTGGACGAAAAACGCCGGCCAATTTCGCGGTTCAGAAGGGACAACGGCCCCCCTCGGGATTGACGACCTCGCGACGACCTCCGAGCTCCGAACTGGGCCCAAATGGCGTCCCAGGGGCCTCGGGAGCCCTCGGGAGCCCTCGGGAATGTCGACAATCCGACAACATAGGTTTGCGCTGGGGGATTCTTGAGAAGTAAATCTCAGCGGACAAAATAGGAAAGCTCGCCACGTCAAGCCGCGACGGCCGCCACGCGGACCAATAGGAGGGATCCAGACCGTCCCCGCCGTGTACTAGGCTGCCACGACGTGGCCGTCGTGGCCACGCGTCTCTCCAGCGGTGATTTTCCCAAAGCGGGAAAACGTTCACACCTTTGAAAATGTCAGAGCGCGATCCACGCGACAAAAATCGGACCGTCCAGGATGTAACTGTTCTGTGGCATCGCGAGTTGTACGCGATGTCGGTGTCGACCAATTCATCAAAAGGCCCACAACCAATCCATGCGGCACAATCTCAACACTGTCAAGGTTCAATGAACCTAAAGAAACAATCAAGCGCGCCGATTGTAAGTCGGCGCCGATCGGCGCCCACGCTAGGACTGCCACGGTGGGCTTCAATAAATCCGGGACCCTGGGAGGTTCGGGTCGGCATGCTGTAATTTCGGTACTGAGAGGCCAATGTCGGCCCCAAGCCACGTAACACACGCCCATTCCACCGTGGAAAGGGCCTGGCTTACGCCCCTTCGGTGCAGCGCGAAGTAACATTAGCCATGCTTGGCACGTGGCACTTCGGGCAGAGCGCCGCCTATGCGAGAACACATGCACGGCGGCAGTAGCATAGGGGTGTGCGTGAAGCGCGGCGGCATCGGAGTCGCTCAGGACCATACCAGTCCGTGACCGTGCGGGCCTGCTCATTCCCATGTCCGTTCCTGCGTTCCTTCCTGCTCTCTCGTGCACTTCGAATTTTCAGCTGCCAGTCCGTCATCGCGCCTGTACGTTACTCGGTTGCCGACTTGGTCAGTAGTAGTCGACGTCGACGTCTGCTGTTTTAGCGAAACATCGGTGCAAGTCGGTGACGCATGGCCAGAGGTCGCTCTAGAGCTCATCAGCCGCAACCTATTCCACCCCCCGCCGACTCTGTAGACGCCGACATCAAAGCGGAGCTGGAATGGCTCGAGGTCGAAGCCGAGTTAGACTCACTCGACCGAGAATTCGAAGAAGACCGCCGCGCAACTCTCCGTGCGTTCACCACACCCGTGACTCAGTACCGTCTTTGGTTTACCAACCTCCGCATCGCACACGGACGACGGTAGAGCAACATACGTGCTGCCACATGGCCGACGTCGACATGACTGACGCTAGACCATCCACCGACCACAGTCCGACATCTACCGAGGAAGAGACGCTCCCCTTACTCTACGATCTTGACAAGCTGATGCAGATTCCAGAAGGGGAGTTCACTAGGGACATTCCCCCACCGCCGATCGGGGAGTTTAACAAGAATAAAAAACAGAATCCGACGCGAAATGGACGGCCAGGAACTTCGTCGGCACCGGCCAGCTCTGGAAACCAGGTTGAGGTCGACGAGGAGGAGGATGGGGGGAAGGAGGAGGAGGAGGAGGAAAGTGATGACGAAAACGACGAGCGTCCGCCGCGTAGCACTAATCAGCGCACCTTGGAAGAACGGCTCATGCGGGAACTTGAATACATAGATGATATGCTCGAACAAGACGAGAATGCCGACCAGGAGAATTTGTCGGTGCCGCGCGAACAGTGGAGGGCGGCAGACTTCGTCGAGGAAGACATGGTGTACGCGACCATCGACGTGCTCGTCTTGGACGCCCTACGCCACCTGCAAACCGTGGAGAGGAACAGCACGCTGAGGCAGTACACCTCGTGGATTTATCACTACAAGAGGTGGGCGGCGAAGATGTTGAGGCAAATTCGCAACAAGCTTCCGCAGGAGTACAGGCTTACGTACGTCGACGAGATAGGGCACTACATCCGGGACAACAAGAAGAAAAACTGGGACCAAGAGGCCGATGTCCCCCGGTCGTACGTGTGGCTGCACGGCCCTAGGGTCACCAAGTCCCGGCTTCGCACATACGTGAAGTACATGGTTCGGGAGTTGAATCTCGATGCCGAACCCAGCAAGAAGGGCGACAACACCACAAGAACACAGCCTGTGCTACAATGGTGCACACGCTCCTCAGGCGCATAAAGGCATGCCAGATGGCGGCGAGAGTGGAGGCGACGATATACCGGGAGACAGAGCTGAGCATCATGCGAGAGATATCGGTGGTCAGGTCGGAGGTGCGGTTCATGATCCGCACCAAGAACGAGCGGGACATCAAGTGAGTTTTTGTTTAACCTCTTGTTGTCTTGTACTGAGTCGACGCTGCCCTAATTGCCCCCCACCCTCGGCATTGTCGGCAGGAACTGCACCGATCGGCGTCGCGGAACAATCGGCGATACCTACACCGCCGAGCAGTTCCGCCAGATCATGTTCAGGGTGCTGCCGGCGTGGGCGGCCAAGGCGTGGAACCCGTAGGGTACGGGCCCGTCGCAGACGCTATGGCGGTTTCTGCTGTTGAAGGTGCTCACGCTACTCTCCCACCACTCTCTTCTGCGCGGTGCAAGCATCCGCGAGATCACGCTCCCCGACATATTCTTGTACCGACTGGCGAGCACCTCGTCGGTGAACCCGGAGAACCAGCCGGTCGTCATGGTCATCGCTGCGCGGAACTCGAAGACGTCCAAGGATGCGCGTCTGCAGCAGAGCTACGCTGCGCGGCACCTCGAAGCGGAGTTCTGCGCCGTCGGCGAGACGGGCCTGTGGTTGCACTTCATCCTCGACCAGATCGGCCAGTTTCACGGCGTCCGCCTCATTCTGCCAGTGGACACCAGCACACGCGCGAGCTGGTACAAGAAGCACCTCTTCTTCGCCAAAAACGACACCGACCAAGGGGAGCTTTTTGCGGCAAGCCACCAACGCTGGACGCGGCAGTTGTGGGACAAAAACGGGGTCTTCTGCAAGAGGAACGTGCACGCCGCTCGAGCCGGAGGGGCCAAGGAGCTGGCCATCGACGGCACGCCACGCGCCGAGATCGCGGAGCTGGGTCACTGGGCGCTCGACAAGATGACGCGAGCGTACATCACCGCCATTCCGGTGGGGGTGGTGATGAAGAAGGCCGATTACTCTATTTACAAACAGGACTACTTCTTGGGTCGGAGCAGGGTGGAGCCCTCCGATAAGCTCTTGAAGCTCCTCGCCGAGCACATCTTCCCTGGCGTCGACGACATGCTGAAGACGGTATGTTAGTCGACGCCCTCGTATCCTTGTTTCCGAGTCGTGTTGCCGACAGTGTCTAAACTCCTAATACACGCGACGAATTGCAGGCGGAAGGGAAGGCTGCCGAGGGGTCCGACGCCGACAAAGCCGCGGTGCACTTCTGGCGCACCCTCCAGTGTCAGAATGTTATATAGCTTATACATTTGTGTAGGCTGTAGTGGGGTATCCCATAGGGGGTACAACCCAATTAGGGTTAGTACTTGTACTCACTTCTTTCATAGTTCATCCATTTCCTGTTCATTAATTCTGACATGGTATAGAGCAGGTCCTTCCCAGGACCGATTTTTTTAGGGCCCACCACTACCTACCTACCTGCGCCCTAGGGCGCCTCGGTTTTCACGCCCCTAGAGGCCCCGAACGGCCCACGCGCTCGCCCCTAGCGGCCCCCCCTTTCGGCCCCGCGATCGTCCCTACCGGCCCCGCGCTTGCCTCTAGAGGCCCCGATCGGCCCCGCGCTCGCCCTTAGCGGCCCCTTACGGCCCCGCGCTCGTCCCCAACGGCCCCGATCGGCCCCGCGCTCGCCCTTAGCGGCCCCTTACGGCCCCGCGCCCTTCCCTAACGGCCCCGATCGGCCCCGCGCTCGCCCTTAGCGGCCCCTTACGGCCCCGCGCTCGTCCCTAACGGCCCCGATCGGCCCCGCGCTCGCCCTTAGCGGCCCCTTACGGCCCCGCGCCCATCCCTCACGGCCCCGATCGGCCCCGCGCTCGCCCTTAGAGGCCCCTTACGGCCCCGCGCTCGTCCCTCACGGCCCCGATCGGCCCCACGCTCGCCCTTACCGGCCCCTTACGGCCCCGCGCTCGCCCCTACGAGCCCTGATCGGCCCCGCGCTCGCCCCTAGAGGCCTCTAACGGCCCCGCCCAGAACAAGCCGCCCGACCCGAGCAGCCCAAACCGAGCCGCCCAGCCCGAACCGAGCCGCCCGAACCAAGCCGCCTAACCCTTACTTGAGCCGCTTGCTCGGCCGGTAGCTGTCTCCCTCGCTGACCCCTCTGGGGGTCCGGTCATTGCGACCTCCTCCACTGTCCTTCCCTGTCCTGCGGTCCCGTCGGGCACACTGTCAGGTCTCCACCTCCCCTCGTTCTCTACGAACTTGGTGGCAGGTTGTGCACTCCAGGACGTGGGTGTTTACTAGTTCACCCCTGCCTACGAGCGTGTCACACACTGCACGTGTACTCGTACAGGCCGCCACTTGGCTACCTTCACCCGGCAGCCGGGGTCGGACCTGTACACACTGACTACTGCCCCCCCTCAGGTCGCTGCGTCTGCATCTGCGTCCGCGTCAGGTCAGCTGTCCGCCCCCTGCTCGTGTCGCTCTCTGGCGCACGAGACTGTCCTCTGGCACCACCGACTAGGCCACCCGTCTGTGCAGCGTCTTCGTGCCATGCGCTCCCGGTACCTTGTCTCTGGTCTTCCCAGGGTCCTCCCTCCCCTCCCACCCTCGCCTGCTCCTCCCTGTCTTCCCTGTGTCGAGGGGCGGCAGCGCGCCGCTCCTCACTCCTCGTTTCCCCCGACGACTGCTCCCTTGCAGATGCTCCACATGGACGTGTGGGGCCCAGCCCGCGTCCGTGGTCAGGGTCAGGAGAGGTACTTCCTGATAGTTGTCGACGACTACTCGCGCTACACCACGGTCTTCCCCTTGCGCACCAAGGGTGAGGTCCCTGATGTCTTGATCCCTTGGATCCGCAGAGCCCGTCTCCAGCTCAGCGAGCGTTTCCGCTCGGACTTTCCTGTCCTGCGCTTGCACTCTGACAGAGGTGGTGAGTTCTCCTCCGACCTCTTGGCAACCTACTGTGCTGAGCACGGCATTGAGCAGTCATTCACGCTTCCGGCCTCTCCACAGCAGAATGGGGTTGCGGAGCGCCGCATTGGCCTGGTCATGGAGGTTGCCCGTACCTCCTTGATCCATGCGGCTGCCCCCCACTTTCTGTGGCCGTTTGCGGTCCGGTACGCTGCGCATCAGCTCAACCTCTGGCCCCGTGTCTCCTTGCCGGAGACCTCGCCCACACTGCTGTGGACGGGGGAGGTTGGCGATGCGTCGCGTTTCCGGGTCTGGGGATCTCGAGCTTTTGTCCGCGATACGTCTACGGACAAGCTCTCCTCCCGTGCTGTTCCTTGCGTCTTCCTCGGCTTTGTCCCGGTTGCGTCTGGTTGGCAGTTTTACCACGCCACCTCGCGCCGAGTCTTGCCCTCTCAGGACGTCACTTTTGACGAGTCCGTCCCCTACTACCGCCTCTCCCCCTACCGCACTGCCCCGCTCCCCCCCCCGCCTCTCTTCCTCGCGCCAGGTGCTGCTGTCGTAGACCCCCTCCCCCCTCAGGGTGCCGCTCCCTCAGGTGTGTCTCAGGTAGAACCGGTTGAGCCTGTTGAGGTAGCTGTCGACTCTCGTCTTGCTGCGGGTGCGGAGCCTGGGGGTGCTGAGCTTGGGGGTGCTGAGCCTAAGGGTGCTGAGCCTGGGGGTGCGGAGCCTGGGGGTGCTGAGCTTGGGGGTGCTGAGCCTGGGGGTGCTGAGCCTGGGGGTGCTGAGCCTGGGAGTGCTGAGCCTGGGGGTGCTGAGCCGCTGAGTCCGGAGTCTGGGGGTTCTGAGTCTGGAGGTCATGAGCCTGAGGGTCCTACACCTGGAGGAGCCCTCTCCTCGGAGCAGCTGCGTGCGTGGTACTTACAGTACTGCAGCCTCAGGAGCGGTACCTCTCGAGCCAGGCGTACTACTGGGACTAGTGCTAGTGCTTCTTCTCCTAGCCGGGAGCTCCCCTCCCGTGAGCGGATCCGTGAGTGGTACGAGCGGCGCATCACTCTTCGGAGTGGCGCGCCTGCTGTCGCGGACCCCGCTGCTGCTGCTGGTACTGCGGACCCGGGCGTTGGAGCTGCTGCTGGTGCTGCGGACCCGGGCACTGGTGCTGCTGCTGGTGCTGAGGACCCGCGCGTTGGAGCTGCTGCTGGTGCTGAGGACCAGGGCGTTGGAGCTGCTGCTGGTGCTGAGGACCCGGGCGTTGGAGCTGCTGCTGGTGCTGTGGACTCGGGCGTTGGAGCTGCTGCTGGTGCTGCGGACCCGAGTGCTGGTGCTGTGGAGTCGGGCGTTGGAGCTGCTGCTGGTACTGGTGCTGCCGCTGGGGGTGCTGGTGCTGTCCCTGCTGTGTCTGGAGTCGCCGCGCGGCCTCGGCCGTACTTCGTACCGCTCCTTCAGCAGGTTCTTGGTCTCTTGCCTCCTCCTAGTCCTCCACCCTTAGCGTATCCACAGCCTGTCCCGTCACAGTTACAGTTGCAGCCGGCCTCCCCGCTACCTGCTCCTTCTCCCTACGCTGGTCCTACTGGAGGTCTTACTGAGCGTCGTGAGCCTGCGTCTCGCCCTGCGTCGCCTGTCCGTCCTGCTAGCGCTAGTGGTCGTGGTTCACGTCAGCGTCCTCCTCCTGTCCCTGGCATGCACAGGATGTCTCTGCGTCCGTCCACTGCTCCTCTGCGTGCCCCTTTGCCTTCTCCTCCTGAGTCCTCTCTTCCTGCTTTTGCCGACCCGGAGTCGGACTCTCTTCGTGCTGCCAGTCCTACCGTCACGCGTCTCCTGGCTACTGTCGTCACTGACCCTTCTTTCGAGTCCACTGCTGCGTCTGCCCTAGTTGCTGAGCTCGTCGACTTTGCTGCTCGCTGTCGTCTAAACTACGCTACTAGTCTTGTCGCTGAGTCTGAGTCTGTCTGTCCTCCGTCCGTCGGGGGTGAGTGTGCCCTTGGCACGGACGTCCTTGAGGACAGGCACGAGGAGTTCCAGTGCTTGGCCGCTGCTTCACCTCATCTCTTGTCCGTACTGCTTACCCCTGAGGGAGACCCGGATGCACTTGACATCCCGACTCCGCGCTCTTACGCGGAGGCGATAGAGGGTCCCTACTCTTCTCAGTGGCAGGCAGCTATGGATGCAGAGATGGCTTCCTGGAAGTCCACAGGCACCTACGTTGACGCTGTCCCCCCTCCTGGGGCGAACATCGTCAGTGGCATGTGGATCTTCAGGGTGAAGCGACCGCCGGGTTCTTCGCCTGTCTTCAAGGCGCGTTACGTGGCTCGAGGCTTCAGTCAGCGGCAGGGAGTTGACTACTTTCAGACCTTCTCCCCCACCCCGAAGATGACCACTCTTCGGGTACTGCTTCACGTTGCTGCTCACCGTGACTACGAGCTGCACTCTCTCGACTTCAACACAGCTTTCTTGCAGGGCAGCCTGCACGAGGAGATCTGGCTGCGCCGCCCACCTTGCTTCACTGGGTCTTTCCCTCCTGGTACCCAGTGGAGTCTCCGGCGTCCAGTCTACGGTCTTCGCTAGGTGCCACGTGAGTGGCACGACACACTGAGGACTACGCTTGCGGCTCTTGGGTTTGCTCCTTCTACTGCCGACCCGTCGCTGTTTCTGCGCACCGACACCTCTCTGCCGCCGTTCTACATCCTCGTGTACGTCGACGACTTGGTCTTTGCCACAGCTGACACTGCTGGACTCGCCTACGTGAAGTCCGAGCTGCAGAAGAGACACACGTGCACTGACCTGGGTGAACTGCGCAGCTACCTTGGCTTGCAGATCACCCGGGACAGAGCACGCCGCACCATTACCCTGACTCAGTCACACATGGTGCAGCAGGTCCTTCAGCGCTTCGGCTTCACGTACTCCTCGCCTCAGGCCACTCCTCTGCCTACTCGCCACTCACTCTCAGCTCTGCCTTCGGATGAGTCCGTAGAGTCGAGTGGCCCGTATCCAGAGCTTGTTGGCTGCCTCATGTACCTGATGACCTGCACATGACCTGACCTTGCATACCCTCTTAGCATTCTTGCACGCTATGTTGCTCCTGGGAGACACCGACCAGAGCACATGGCTGCAGCGAAGAGGGTGTTGCGCTACTTGTGCAGTACGTCGGGCATGGGGCTAGTGCTTGGAGGGCGGAGTCCAGTGGTCCTCACTGGGCACGCGGACGCTTCTTGGGCTGACAACCAGGCTACGCAGCGGTCGTCACAGGGTTACACCTTCAGCCTTGGTTCCGGCTCTGTTTCGTGGCGGGCTACTCGCTCGTCTTCTGTTCTCGGCTCCAGTTGTGAGGCTGAGATCTACGCCGGGGCCATGGCTGCACAGGAGCTTCGCTTGCTCACCTACCTGCTTACCGACCTTGGAGAGCCGCCTCGTTCTCCTCCAGTCCTGTACGTAGACAACAAGGCCATGCTGGCCTTGTGTCGCGAGCAGAGACTGGAGCACAGAACAAAGCACATTGCTCTTCGCTACTTCCTTGCTCGTGAGCTACAGCAGCGTGGTCAGTTGCGGCTTGCGTACGTGGCGTCTGAGGCCAATACTGCAGATGTCTTCACCAAGGCAGTTGCGCCTTGTCATCATCAGCGCTTCTGCACCCAGCTGGGTCTTGTACCTGTCCTGCCTCACTTGCTCACCTCTTGACCTTCCTTGTACTGTTACATATATATATATACCTGCTCTTGCTTGTCTAGCTTTATATATTCGTGTACACTTGCATGTGAACTGGCCTTGTGGCCTTGACCTTGTGCTCAGACTGTGTGGTGACTTTAAGATCCACCCTGAGCTTGCTTTGCTTTGCTTTGCTTTGCTGGACTGGTCTTGTGACCCCTTGTTCTCCCCCACTTTGCCTATGGGGGTGTGTCAGAATGTTATATAGCTTATACATTTGTGTAGGCTGTAGTGGGGTATCCCATAGGGGGTACAACCCAATTAGGGTTAGTACTTGTACTCACTTCTTTCATAGTTCATCCATTTCCTGTTCATTAATTCTGACATCTCGATGCTGCGCCGCATCGTCGCCGAGGACCTAGCGGTGAAGCTGGTCCGCACACCATGGCACCCATACGTCCAAGGCTCCCTGCTCTGCCGGATCCCCTCTTCCAGCACTGGGCGAAACGGGTCGAGAGGGTCGACACCGAGACGATCAACAAGCGTCGGGACCCGACCCAAACTAGGAAGAGGTAAGTCGACGACGAGCTGGCTGTAGGGCATTCCAAACCACCGAGCGGCTAACGTCTTTGTCCTACCGCTGCAAGAAATCTCTGTCCGCATGGACACCGAGTACTACAACATATCCCTCAAGGCGAAGCTGACGAAGGAGATGGAGCGTGCCGCGAACGAGAAGATTGACTTCCTGGAGGAGCTCGAGAAGCGCCACGACACCATCGCGTTTCTCACTACCGAGATAACCCGTTTCACCGAGGCACTCCGGGTGTCAGAAGCACGTAGAGTTCCGGAGGCCCCGTCGTGTGCTACCGCGCAAGCTCCCAGCGAGGGTGGCTCGGCGGATTCGGCCAACATAGGAGCCGGTGCCGACGGAGGGGACGACAAACCCCCGCCACCCCCACAGACGGACGTGGAGGCTAGTTACGAGCTCAACGTGGTACAACCGTGGCGGGAGGCCAAGACCGTGAGGGACGCCTGGTGCCTCTGGAACTCCGCCACCGCTAATGACACCCGTCGGCTTTGCGACAGGATGGCCGAGCCGGGGTTCATCGACCACCACACCCTCCTCGCCGGCGCGATGCAGGGTGCACTCAACAAGAGGGTGTGCCGCATGCTGAAGGTCATGGATGTGGTGCGCCAGCTACGCGCGAGCGATGGCGACGCCGACACCGAGGCCGTGGTCGACACACTGCACAGGATCGCGGCATCCGGCATCGGGACCTTCGCCGATGCCCTCACGGTGCTCAAACCGGGAACGGCACCGATGTTGTCCAAAGAGCCTGGTTTGGGAGTCAAGGGGTTGGGCCCCAAGGTGGTCTCGAAGCTACGCCTCGCCTGTGCGCTTATGGCGCTCAACTTGAAGCAGAGTGATTGGATCGAAACCCTGTTTCCAGACACGTGGGAGGAGCAGATGCCGAAGACCAAGGCCGACCTGGCAAAGCCGACGGCCCCGGCCAAGTCGACAGCACCGGCCAAGCCGACCGCTCCGGTGCACCGTCCTCCGACCAAGCGCAAGAAGTCGGCATGATCGCGCCTGTAGGATATGCGTGTGCATAGTTCGATGCTGTTAACTGTGGCAGATTTGTACACCCCCCCTTCCCTTCTTTTTCCAAATGTTATTACGGTAGTTTGTAACAACCCACTGCAAGGCCCTTGCGAACCTACTGGGTCCCGCTGTGTTAAATGTAGTCGATCGCTCAGTAAGAAACAAAAATACTATCCTTGCTGACATCTAAACACAGCTCGATGTTGACGTCTCGCAGGATTGCATGTTGCTAGGGTGTCGACATATTCGCCGACAGAACTCGTCGCGAAGTAGCATGTGTCTACCTTCTCTATCATCGCTGCTCGCCGAGTAGAATGTTCCTTTTGATGTCGACATATGCGCCGACAAGGCGCATCGTTCAAAGTCGGCTAGCAAGTTTCATTGTGGACAGTGATTTACTAAAAAACAAAAAAGATTCGTGCCCTACGATACAAAAGTCATTAGAATTACTACGACATCGGCGCCGACCATACAATAGTACCCTGCACACCACAGCCCGCCAACTACGCATCCGTACTGCCCTTGCCCTGCTTGCCCTTCTTCCTCTTGCTGCTGCCCTTGCTCTGCTTGACCTTCTCCCCCTTCCTCCCCCTGTGATCCATATCGTACTCCATCCTCGCGTCACACGGCAAATCGATGCCCTGCGCTTTGAGCTTGGGCCCGGTGACGGGGCACATTCCCCAGAACGCCAAGGTCTCGACCGTCGCTCTTGCGATCATGTCGGCCTCGACTTCCTCAACTCCCTTCGCGAAGGCCCTGGCAACTGCCTGGCTCTGCAGCGATGGCGCGACGTTATGTGCAACCTCCCCAGCGGGAGCCTGCCTAGTGCGTGCTATGTCGATCACCGCGTGCATCACCTCCTTGAAGTCCTCGGCCCTCGCCTCCCCCACACCTGCCACCATCGCCGCCGCCTTCCCTTTGCCCACAGCACCGAGCACCGACGCCCTCGTCTCCAAGAAGCACCAGATGGCGCATGCCGATGCCGCTAACGCCTGGGTCCCCGACTCCGTCTTCTCGTCCGCCTTCCCCTCCACGCTCGCATCGACCTTCCCAAATGCCGCGCTCGCCGCGACCTTCCCATACGCCGCGCAAATCGACACGCGATTTACCATCGCCGACATGAGAGCGTCCGTCTCTTCCTTGCCTTCCTCCGTGTCCTCGATGATGGGGAACCAGATCGCCGGCCAGAACACGTCATGAAGCGCATCACCCAAACTTGCGTATCCACGGTACCTGCCGGGTATGTCGTCGAACCTACCGCGCAAACACATTAGAACGACACGACTTCGTCAACATCAGCGTAATGACACGATTTGTTCGACAAAACTCAACACGTCAGGATCCGTCTTACCGTGCTCTCGGATGGCACAAGCCTCTTGCCCACATCACCGTCCACATCCCCGTCGGCAAGAACTTGACCTCCGCCCACACCTCCTTCCATTTATCCAACTCCCCCGGCTTCAAGACGGTGAGCTCCTTCATGAGCACCTTGCTCACGTAGCCGTCGTAGACGACGAACGTAATCGCGTGCTCGTAGGCCAGCTCCATCTTCTCCCTCGACTTGCCGATGTACCGATTCTGTCCGTTTACCTTAATCTCGGCGGATGCCATGACCCCTGCGTCCATGCTCTTTATCTCCCTCACCGCCCTCCTCGTCCTCCTCCTCCGCCTTCTCCTTCTTCTTCGCCGGCTTACCCTTGCCGCCCGTCTTGTCCTGCTCCCCTTCCGCCTTCTTCCCTTTCTCTTCCGACATCAACTTCCCCGCAGACATCGCCCGCGTGCTCCTCTGAGAGACCGCCTTCCCTTTCCCATTGTCGTCCTTTTCCTTCCGTCCAGCATTTCTCTCGGTGACAGCAGCCGTTGCGGCCGTCTGCTCCGCCGAACCCCCTCCGTGGGCCGCCGACGACACCACATGCGCCGTGTCCATGATGGCCATAACAGGGGCGTGCTCGGGGCGCTTTGCTGCCTAAAAATGGGCCATGACGACAGCAAGGTCGGCATGCTTGTTTGCGCGGCCGCCGGTGGCGAGCGCTGCACTCACTCCCTTCTCCGCCGCCACATCGACCACAAATGCACCTGGTGTGGGTGTGGTCGCGTTTACCGACGTCGGCGTCGCGCTTTTGCCGAGTTCCGGCAGGGTCACTGACGGAGCCTAAATGGGTGCGAAGAAAAGCGGACTTGGGGCCCGCAGGCGATGGGGCGGCCACCGGAGGCGCGGCAGGTGGGGCACCGGACGACTTGTTGGCAACCTGCGTAGTGACGGAGCGACGTGCTGTTCCAAGAAGGCCGGCCTCGACCACGGGATGCTGCTGCACGTCCCTGCTATGTGCCTCCATGCGGCGGAGCATCTCGCTGAGCGCGGTACCACCGGGGGGGGCCTTAGCTGATGCCACGGCATCACCCTTAGCCGAAGCAGCCTTCGCGACGCCCTTGGCGGCAGCCGGGGATGCTGAAGCTGGAGCAGCCTCCCCATCTTTGTTCGCACCTGACTGGCCGGCAGGCGTGCTGGTAGCCGCAAGGGGGTTACGGGGACTCGACTTGGTGGTGCCGGCAACCGTAGCAGAAGCAGGCTTGGCCGCCGCCGCGACGGACGGTCCCTTAGTGGTTCCGGAGTCGCCATCATTCGCCGCCTGAGCAGTTGGCACCTCCTTGTCGGTCACGCCTTTCCCACCACTCGCCTGAGGATGGGTCTGCTCGGCGACCAAAGGCGGGCCAGTCGGAGCAGCTACGTTAGCGGCAACCCCGTCGGCAGGGCCACCCTCTGCTCCCCCGCTTCCGCCTCCCTTGCTATGCGACGTCCTTACCACCTTCCACCCCGCCTTCGTCTTCAGCTGGTCGACCACGCTCTGTTGCGCAGGCTTCGACCCGCGGCTACCGTCCGCTCCCTTACTCCGCTTTGAGCTCTCCTTGTCGTCTCCGTCGCCCGTCCTCTTATAGCCCTGCTTCTCGGCCGTTTTTCTTTACGCGTTATTGGCGTCATTGGCCGAAGGCAACGACCCACGTCGACCTTGCGCCACAGTGCCGATCATCTCTGTCATCATCTTCATCCCGGAAGCAACGAAAGACTGCTGGGTGGCCTCCGTCACCGCCTTCATGATGTCGACCTTGAACGACTTCAAAAGCTCTTCCGGGATGGCGGGCGGCGTGGGATGAGGCGGTGGCGGCGGCGGCACGGCGAGCCTGGCGGTCACAGCGGTGGCGATGTTGACCTGCGCGGAGGCAAGGTGGTTCGAGACGTACTCTTCCAACCCCTTCTTCGCATCGCCCACCACCGAATCTACGTGTTCGGCCAAGGCGGAGACCGCTAACACCCGTGCATACGCGACGCAACCCTCCGGATTGTCGAAGTCCTCCAACCACTCTGTCGCCTGTTCCGCGAATGTCTTCATCGACTTCCACGCTTCGTCAAAGCTGCCGGTGATGTTGCCCGTGATGGTCTTTTACATGGCCTCCGTCGCGTTTCGCAGCTGTTTCGCAGCATACTTCTCGGTGTCGTCGACCTGCTCGGCCAACCCTTCAACGTGGTCGACGAATCCACTGACCCCAACAAAAAACCCGTCCAGCCGAGCCCGCTCCGCATCGAGCAACGTCGCCAGCCGAGCGTTCTCCACCCGCAACAACCAGTTCTCCCGTCGCAGCTCCTCAACGTCGTCCAGTTCAGGGCCCTGCCGACCAGGTGCTTCCCCGGTCTCTTGCACGCCCGTGTTGTTCGCCCCTTCGCCGGCGTCAACCGACACCTTCCCACCTCCCTCGCAGGCCGCCTCATCCTGGCCATTTCCCGTCGTTGCCTCCACGCAGACCTCGCCCTTCTCCTTCCCCACATCTGCCGACCTCGTAGCATTTCCCGCGGCGTCATCCTTCTCTTCCTCATTCCTATGATATGCCGACCCCACCGCCTCTTCCGCCGCTCCCGCCTCAACCGTACCCTCTACATACGAGATAATCGTATCTATCTCTCATCCGACCGCTTTGCAGCCCACCAAGTCTATCGCACCCCTGCACTAAACTACCCCAGAAAGTGGAGGGTAACCTAGGAAAGTAGCTCTGATACCAAGTGTTATGAGTTGTACGAAAGAAGAGTGCGCAGAATGCAATATCGCGGAAGTGATTACAGCTACTAAGCAAACAACGAGGCCTAGGCATAATATAGCAAAGCTAGCTAGGCCGAGGTCGCGGAGTCGCGCGAAGGCTGAGTGCAGGTTTGGGGTTGGGAAACCCGAAGGCGACGCGAAGGACGTACGGAAGGCGAGGTCGGTGGACCAAGCCTGAACTCCGAAAAGTTGGAATTGTACGCGTACGGAGTGCCTCAGTAAGGAATTAGGAAAATTCCTTATAGCTATATATTGTTCGCACACTCTTTAGCTCATTGTATTGTTTTGCTTTGATAGTGCAATTCTCGCTCGCTTGCTCAATTGCATTCGTAACACTAGGTATGTCAGAACATTAAAGCTTATACATTTGTGTAGGCTGTAGTGGGGTAGCCCATAAGGGGTACAACCCAATTAGGGTTAGTACTTGTACCCAACTGTTTCATAGTCCATTTCATCCATTCTCACTTCTCGTCATGGTATCGAGCAGGTTCCCGAGTGGGAATACTGCCTAGGGCCCACCACGAACTTTTTTTTTCCTTCCCTGCCCGGAGCGCGCTTCGCTCCCAACCCGAGTAGCGCCTCGAGCCGCCCTTACGGCCCCTTTGCGCCGCCTTCTACGGCCCCTCGCGCCGCTCTTACGGCCCCTTACGGCCCCGTCTGGCCCCTTATGGCCCCACTTAGGCCCCTTACGGCCCCGTCGCGACCTCGCCTAGGCCCCTTACGGCCCCATCGCGGCCCTGCCTAGGCCCCTCCGCGGCCCCGTCATGCCCCTTACGGCCCCGCCTAGGCCCCTTACGGCCCCTTCGTGGCCTCGCCTAGGCCCCTTACGGCCCCTCCGCGGCCCCGCCTAGGCCCCGTCTGGCCCCTTACGGCCCCTTACGCCCTCGCCTAGGCCCCTTACAGCCCCTTCCGCGGCCCCGTCTGGCCCCCTTTATGGCCCCGTCTGGCCCCTTACGGCCCCTTTGCGGCCCCGCCTAGGCCCCTCCGCGGCCCTGTCTGACCCCTTTGCGGCCCCGTCGCCACCTGCGGCCCCGTCACCACCTGCGGCCCCGTCGCCACCTGCGGCCCCGTCGCCACCTCCGGCCCCGTCGCCACCTGCGGCCCCGCCGACACCTGCGGCCCCACCGCCACCTACGGCGCCGTCGCCACATGCGGCCCCGCCGCCACCTGCGGCCCCGTCGCCACTTGCTACCCCGCCGCCACCTGCGGCCTCGCCGCCGCCTGCGGCCCCGCCGCCCAACGCCCGCACCGCCGAGCAGCCGAACCGTCGGCCAGCTGAGCCGCCCGACCGCCGAGCCGCCCAGTAGCCGAGCCGCCCGACCGCCGAGGCGCCTAGCAGCCGAGCCGCCCGACCGCCGAGCCACCCAGCACCGAGCAGCCAAGCCGCCCAACCGCCGAGCCGCCCGACTGCCCCTCTTGCCTGGTAAGAGCACAGTCTCTACCACTGCACTGCCCTGCCCCACTGTACTCACTGCCTGCCTACTGCTGTTATGGCCTCCCCTAGCGTTCTCACCTTTGACGCTGAGGGTAGGGCAGTGGACTTTGAGGTCTGGGTAGATGATCTGCAGCTTTTCCTGCAGTGCGATAGGGCAGACGGCCTCTCCCTGTTTGACCTCACTTTTGGTGCCTTCCCTGCCCCTGCTGCTGATGCTGACGCCACTGTTCACTCACAGTGGGCCACGCGCGATGCTGGTGCTCACCTTGTTGTACGCCGCCACACACCGACCACTGAGCGTGCACACTTTAGCCAGTACAAGAGTGCTTAGACCTTGTACGACGCTGTAGTTGCACGCTACTCTTCCCCTGCCACTGCTGCACTGAGCCGCCTCATGCTACCGTACCTCTTCCCTGACCTTGCTGCCTTTCCCACAGTCGATGACCTCATTACGCATCTCCGCACTAGTGACACTCGCTACCGCGCTGCGCTTCCTACTGAGTTCTACGCCAAGAACCCCCCCCCCCCCCATGTACATCACCCTCTACTACATAGTCACCCGGCTCCTTGACTCTCTACGCGTAGTCAGGGACCACTTCCTCTCAGTTTGCCCCACCACTCTCACCGTTGACCTCCTCGAGAAGGCCCTCCTAGCGATAGAGAAGAGCATACTCGCTGTAGGAGCCTCTCGTGGTGACCCTCGCACCCCCGTCTTTGCGGGGTGTTCTCCCTCCCCCCTCTTGCCCTCTGTTGCCTCTGCTGGTGCGGCCGACCTCGTTGGTTTCGAGTCGGTCGGCGCTACGTCTGCCCCGAGCGCGAGACGCCGCACCGGCAAGGGCAAGGGGGGCAAGGGCTCTGGATGGGCTGGAGGGGGCGGTGGAGGGGGTAGTGGAAGCAGTGGAGGGAATGGGGGTGGTCGTGGGAGTGGTGGCGAGGGTGGCGGCGGCGGCGGCAGCAGTGGAGGCGGCGGAGGCGGTGGAGGAGGCGGAGGGAGCAGAGGCGGCGGAGGTAGTGGAGGAGGCGGAGGAGGAGGAGGCGGCGGAGGCGGCGGAGGCGGCGACGGCGGCGGAGGCGGCGGTGGTGGAGCGAGTCGCGAATCTGCGCAGAGGAGTGGCGCCGGTGGTGGTCAGCGCCAGCAGCAGCAGCGGAGTGGTGTGACCCAGTCCCCTCGGCAGGTTCATAAGTGGTACACTGCGCGTTAGTGCGGTGGGGGTTTTAGTCCCTGCTCTTACGTCCTCCGTACCGGCGACCGCGCTGGTGAGCAGTGTGGAGGCCCGCACTCCACCCAGCGCTGCTTTGGTCGCCTGACGGACGCGTGGCGTCACTAGTTCCCTGAGGCGTCAGAGATCCCTTGCTGGGGAGATCTGGCTAAGGCCGGGGTTGCTATCTTTGATCTTGACTTCGATGCTATCCTTGCTGCCATGTATGCTATTGATACTAGTGTTGCTGGTGACTGTTACCTGTGTGTACCGCCTGACCCGGGCATTAAGGCTGCTGCTCTAGGTGCTGGTGAGGCTGCTGCTCTAGGTACTAGTGAGTCTGCTGCTCCAGGTGCCAGTGCGTCTGCCGCCCCAGGTGCCAGTGCGTCTGCCGCCCCAGGTGCTGGTGAGTCTGCTCTCTCAGGTACTACGTCGGCTCAGGCCTTCCACACATTCACCCTGGACTCAGGTGCGTCCCGCTCCTTCTTTCGAGACCGCACCACTCTTACACCGCTCAGTCGGCCGGTTGCAGTCTCCCTGGCAGACCCCTCTGGGGGTCCTGTCCTTGCTAGCTTCTCCACTCTCCTTCCGTGCCCGGCAGCCCCCTATGGCACCCTGTCTGGTCTCTACCTCCCCTCGTTCTCTACGAACTTGGTGAGTGGAGTAGACCTACAGGATCGAGGGGTTGACTAGTTCACTCCTGCGAGTCAGCGAGGGACCCACTGCACTTGTGCTCGGACAGGCCAACACTTGGCCACGTTCACCCGTCGGCCAGGGTCGAGCCTTTACACCCTTACTACTGAGTCTCCTCCTGCTGGTGAGTCTGCCCAGGTAGCTGCGTCGAGTCAGGTGTTTGCTGCGGCGTCCAGGTCTAGTCCTGAGTCTGCCCCCTGCTCGTGTCGTCTGCTGTCCCACCAAACTCTCCTTTGGCACCACCGCCTTGGTCACCCCTCCTTGCCTCGTCTCCGAGGCATGGCCTCCCGTGTCCTTGTCTCTGGTCTCCCTCGGTCTCTCCCTCCCATTCCTCCGGGGCCTGGCCCTACCTGCGTCCCCGACGTCGAGGGGCGACAGCGCGCCGCCCCTCACTCGTCCGAGTTTCCTCCGATAGAGGCTCCACTGCAGACTCTCCACATGGACGTGTGGGGCCCAGCCCGCGTCAGAGGGCAGGGGCGAGAGCGGTACTTTCTGCTGGTCGTTGACGACTACTCGCGTTACACCATAGTCTTCCCCTTGCGTAGCAACGGTTACGTCACTGAGGTGTTGATCGACTGGATCCGCGCAGCTCGTCTTTAGCTCAGAGAGAGTTTCGGCTCGGACTTTCCTGTTCTACGTCTGCACTCGGACAGAGGCGTGGAGTTTTCCTTTGCCCGTCTGGGAGCCTTCTGTCGTGCACAGGGCATCCGCCAGACCTTCACGCTTCCGGCCTCTCCACAGCAAAATGGGATTGCTGAGCGCCGCATTGGCATGGTCATGGACGTCGCTCGTACGTCCATGATCCATGCAGTTGCTCCCCATTTTCTGTGGCCGTGTGCGGTTCAGTACGCAGCGCATCAGATCAACCTTTAGCCCTGGTCTCTTTGCCAGAGACCTCCCCCACCTTGCGATGGACGGGGAAGGTTGGCGATGCGTCTGCGTTTCGTGTCTGGGGATCTCGGGCATTTGTG